TTCGGTGATGTGAATTTGCATGAATCTAAATCTTGGAATGCATTAATCCGAGTTTGCAGATGGTGCTTTTTATGAGTGAAACAAAATCTAGTATCACTAATAAACATATGGTTCAATGAACTGCTTCCCCGTATCAGGAAGATAACGATTTTTTTCAATAAGAAACAAGTCAAAACAAGTCATGTCGGCATCAGTTTTAGAAAACCTTTTAAAGATGAATGTATCCGTGAATTCATAAATTTAAAAGGTTCAATAGAAAGATAGAATGATAGACGTTATATAATACATATGCAAAATATTCTCAGAGAAAGTAGTTTGAACTTAATAGTTTTTACCGGTATGCAGCCGTAAGGAACATTACCTATGCCTGAATTCTGTCAATTCTAGGTAGTTTGAGGTAATCTATGAAGACATGTCTTATGAAGCATGGTTATTCTCAGTTTGGGATATTCTCTATTCAGGCTAGATTTAAAAGAGCGCATCATCCGGAAATTGAACGCACATTCAAAGAGAAAACCATGGGATTGATAGCTTTTGGATTTAATCCAGCCACCCTACCCAATATTTTACAATCATTGTGCAATGCTTCTTTAACAATACTGTGCAAATTTTGCTAGCAGACCGCGCAAAAACGCATCACAACAAACATGATTTATAACTTCCGGAAGATAGGAGATTATTTGGAGAACGGAAATATTTGATTTAAACACGAAATGCCCATAACAATTTGTTCAGTTGTAAATATCCACTGAATAAGAACTAAATCATGATCGAATTCGCAGGTTTCAATACAACGGAGGGTGTTAATAAACAAAATTTATCTCTATCAAACTGAGTTAGGCGTTGTAGGAACTTACAGTTTCTCTAATGCATTCTTTTGATACGAGTCTCCAGTTAGTTGATGAACGTTGTCCATTCTATGGACAATATTTCATATCTACTGGGTCTAGCGCTTTTTACAGGGACATTTCTTTCCAGTCTGAGACTATACTGCGTGCACACAATCTCGCTCTTATTTAGTCATATTGGATGAACAACTCAGTCCTATCATTTCACTTCACAAATGCCATTTCATTTTCCGACAGCTATAGCTTTCGATTTTCGATATCCCTCGTGAGTAGTCATGATTCGGATTCTACGCAGTCAGCTTCTCGTCGAACGTATTTACCCATATTCCAACACCCGAACACTGTTAACGCTGACGAAACCATTACAACAAACTAGTCTAGTCCTGATTTTTTTGACGCCGACAATGATTTATAACCCTTAATATTTAGAACAAAGTGAAACGTGTTTTCTGATAAAAAAAACAATTCTTGTTGATAAATGCTCTGTCTTGCAGATTCCAGATTGATTCTTAGTAAAAATTCGTTTGCGAATGTGTACGCAGTTAAATAAAAATAGATTGTATGATAGGTGACATTCTTGGTTTAATTAGTATGTGGATGAGAATGAGGCACTAAAATATGTGGCTTGGGAGAGCTCTCCACATTATTTGATATAAATGTGTTGTTGTAACTTGTGCAACGACCTGATGTTAAGAGCAACAGCGTGGCGAACTAGCTCCTTTTTTAGTTATTCGTAATCATGCCATTACATAACATACTCATAAGACGCCGCGGCGATAGCGCCGTCCAGAAAAGCAAAATGGAACGGACAATATATCCATTTCCATAGTTTTGTCCCTCTTCAGAGGAAAAGAAACTTAATTTGTTGTTTTTGCTCACAATGGCTACCCGGAACGATTTATCGATTGGGCATTGATGGAACATGAGGAACGGTCAAAGGAGATAGGAGCAGCGAAGAAGTCTGTCTATGTGCATCTGCCCCATTCAAGGGAGACACGGAGTCATAAGTCTTTCAAAGAAAGCTAAAAAGTGTAGTAAGCAGAACATTTTACGCTGCACAATTCAAAGCTATGTTCACATCTAAAACAATTATGTTTCCGCCTGGAGGATAGAGTAACAGATTCTGCAGCCTCATTCGATGTATATTCATTCACCTGTTCCTGTGGAACTGGGTACATTGGTCGCACGACCAGGCACCTATCCGATCGCGTTCGCGAACACTACCCGACTTGGCTGAGGACTGGAACAATTAGGACAATTCCGAGAGCGGTGTGTTCGCATCTCGTTGAGTCAAATCACTCGGTAGATGTGGCAAACGCGTTCCGATCGATTTACAAGGTTCGATGCAGGCAATCAGGAGCAGTGAAGCCCCGTATCTTAGCCACGGCCGAAGCTGTAAGCGTTCGGATTCACAAACCCTCTCCCTGCGTGTGCGCCCAGAAGAAATTTGTGCAAGCACTTAATTCTCCCCTGACCCACTTCAACCACTCCAACACGTGTGCAATCACTTGGACTTTTGATACTGTGATCAATTTCACACGAACAAACGCACGCATGATTGGAGCCACAGCTGAATCCTTAGAACTTGAATTTCTCATTCCCTGTTTCGTTCTTATTGTTAGTCATATGTAATGTTATGTAATGGCATGATTACGAATAACTGAAAACGAGCTTATTCCCCACGCTGTTATTCTCAATGTATTCTATCGGACTAATTAAACGATTGGAACAATCCAAAGACCTGATGTTAGGTAAATCTTCCCTTCTCCCTTCGCGCACACACACACACACCTAGCGTTTTGAGCCACATTTACGGGAATGAATATGGCATTATTCTACACCATGTACGAGATATACGCAACAGCATCCACTCATTTTTTGTTTGTTTTCGTATAATGTCTGGTGAAAGTATGATTTCTCAATTTCGTTGACGGTCGCTGGTGTATCAGTTGTAAGATTATGAAATCTCAGTAGAAATCAATCACAAGAATTTAGTTATATAAATAAATGATAGACACAACACAATGATTCTTGAAACAAGCTTTTTTCCTGACAAATTTGAAAAGAGAGAAGCCAGTCATGGCAACACTGCACGATTTCTGTTCTGGACAACTTTGCTGCATTGCAATTGGTGCCTACTGCAGACGAATACAATGTTGATATAGGGTTTGGGAACGGATTATAAAATAAACACTTGTAAATGGGAGGAAGCGTTNTTACCAAGGCGAAGCCAAGCCGATGAACAAATTTTGTTGTTGTTGGTTTCCATCGCTTGATTACAATCGCCTCCGCGATCTTGAGCATCCTGGGGTTATCATTGGTAAAAAAATTCTCGAGATGCATCCTCGCGATCCCCGAGGTGTCGCGTCAGCAACAAGTGTTTGGTAATCAATGTGCTTGCTGGTTTGTAAGCGCGCACCTTACCAGTTACCGGCTTTGTGGACCTTGCCATGGTAACCCTGCGTTGAGCCCAGTTCGGAATGTGTGATCAAACCTGATTACGTAATTGCCTTTCTACTCTGCCTATCTAATTAATGTAATTGTTATAACCGAATTTCAATCGCGAACGCTATGCACAGTAATTTAGGGCCCGTAACCCGATACAGGAAATCAGAACACACCAGAGAGTGTGCGGATCGGAATCGGGTTAACGATTTAATGAATGATGGTGAGAGTACATCAATCGATTAAACGATGACTGACAATTAGGTCAAGCTGGCGCATGGACAAAACGGATTAGAGGAGTATTAGTCAGTGTCTGTCGTAAACAGCTGTGTCACGTGACTGGACGACCAATAGGAACTGATAGACGAATGCGTATGTAGCAGTAAACCATTACCAAAACCTATATAAACAATGTATTTGTCTGCAGTAGGCACCAGTTGAGATGCAGCGAAATAGTCCAGGACATAAATTGTGCAGTCTTGGTATACTGGCTTCTCTTTTCACAATTATTACCATTTCATTTAATCAATACCCTGTATGCCTGTATTATTTTTGAGCACTTGAACCAGTCATTTGGACACGGAGTCCACCACAATGTACACAAAGCAACATTTGTCAGTTTCTGCCTGAAAGTGCTGTACCTTGGTCTCTAACACCCGCTCTCGCGGTGGTCACGTTATCTTTGTCTTCAACACAAGGAAACCTTTTCTGTTACACTCGAATCTGTTGAATTGTAACTNGTAACTGAGTGAATTCGACGTTCTAGGATGCTAATCCAGAAACTGTGCAAACGTGGGAAAACATTGTGGTTTAAAATCTTCCTGCGGTCAACCTCGCGTGAGATATGACAATGAGCTTTGTTTTGGAAATGTGTGAACTTTGGCGAGTGTAGTGCGAGATCAAGTTCAGAATAAATGCCCGCAGCTATCGATACACATGTGTGATGCTGACACTTGAACTATTGTTAAAAATTCAGGGTCATGTCTCACGAGTTTGATCAATACCTGTAGAGTATATGGGCCTCAAATGATACCCGAATTCTCGAAATTTTCCAAGTATTTTTTCGACCGCCATCCGTGGGTCTAAATTTTTAATTTTCCTATTTGTTGATTCTTTTCATGTACATGTAGTAGCTGTCAGTATTTCCTGTTTCTACTGCTTTTTATGCTACTCTATAGTTGATCAGTTGCATTTTGATGACCTGAACTGTGGTTTACGGCCAATCAAAGAGCTGTCATACAGCACACAATGGGCAAAGTCAGGTAGTGGTGGTGGAATTCGAACACACGTCCAATCTGAGTCATTCAAACCTGATGTTATTCAACCTTCAATTCTACACAAGTGTAGAGGAATTTTCCACATTAGACAAAATTGGGTCGATCCACGTGCACCCATCTTCCCCTGGCATGACATCTGTTCCGCGGTACAGTTGTCACTTCATTGATAACCCCCTCAGACGTAATCATTTCTTTTCACTTATGCAATACTCAGCGAAATTTGTGGTATTCTGCAGAAGCAATATTTCCTTTTAATTCAAAAATATCACATCTTGATACGGTTCTCTCAACAAAACGATCAAGTATATTTCTATTTATTGATACTATCTATCGTGAAATGGACGGATTTGCAATTAGATCCCCACTCCGTCTGTTGCTGGTTGATATTTTTATGGCTAGATTAGAAGGGAAATGTACACTGCACTCAACTATGGAGGACTTAAAATACCGCAATATATTCATGGCTGCTATCTTCTCTGTGACCGAACGAGAAAATACCACAGCCTCGTTCAAAGAAGCACACTAATAACTGGGCTTCACTGTGGAGGTTGAAAGCGACAAAATAATGGATTTTCTGGATTCAGCTGTGTGCAGAATTGAAGATGGATCAGTGAGAAGACAGATCCACAGAATGAAAATACAGAATGGCCAATATACTAACTTCTGAAGTGTCGCACTTGCGAAATACAAACCTAATATAGTCCGGTGGATAGCCTCCAGCAGATATATTAGATGAAGAACAATATTTCATCCGCCAAACGCTACAGGATGATTGTTATCCGGGAAGATTTATTGATAAGAATATTCTGTCTAACCCAGCAAAGGAAAGATCCATCGATGTCTCCAAGAATGAACCATTGGTGAGGATTCTGTTCACAGGGGACAGACACACCAAAAATCCAGCAAAGTCACTGATAACGACTGTCACTTCCACTTCCCCCGCAGCCAGACTTGGATCGATGTTTTCTACAACACCGGCGACGGAAAAGCGAATAAAAGTTAAATATAAAAACTGACGTCCTCCATAATGATTTATTCTTTTAATTGCACCTGCTACATAGATCGTACAGAGCGGTGCTTGTCGCAAAGCGTTAAGTAACACAATCGGTGACGGAGGGGAAGACTTGACTGGATGTCAAATGTGATTGTGGGTCATCGGACAAAAGGCGGAACCGAAGGAAGATTTCGATGTTTATCGTATACCATTCAATCGATCGAAAGCGGTCTGAGTTTGGACACCAGTCATGATTGAGGCGATCGCCATTTTCTTGATATGCTCTAATCTGTGTGCCCGAGAAAGGTTCAAGCGCTTCAAATGGCGATAGGTTGTAGAAATTAACACAACTGCTCTCACCACCCCCCCCTCCCCACGCACACAAGCACACACATCCTCTACCTGATGCATTTGATTGCTGACCTTAATTCGGATCAACGGCAAGCAAGCATTTTTTTTCTCTGTATGATATGTAAGGGAAGGACTATAAATATCCACAAACCATAGTTCGCTCACTGAGTCGGTTGCTTGGTGCTATCATGGCAATCTATCATGACAAACTTCAAAGTAGGTTTCATTCACATAAACAAACAGGCGCTCAGCGTCTTGGTCTATGTTGCTTTCTGACTAGGTTTCTGAGCTAATACTCCGGTTCAGCTTGTGAAATTAGAGAAAAACAGACGAAACTAACTCAGGCCAAACACGCACACAGATATACACACGATATGTACGGCACTAGTACTTCCACACATGAGAATACTTGGGATCCGTGATCTTTACAACTTTGGAGTTTTGTACCTACTGGCTATCAGCGATCATTGTTTTCAATATTTGCAATCGGTCCTAGGAACTACGGTCCGATCTGTTAAAATCGCAATTCGAAAATCTGTTCTATCTCGATGTATTGATAGGTATTGCTACAGGGTAAAACATCTTGATTCATTTAGGAAGGTTAGCACTGTAATGTTCCACGGCAGATCCTTCAAAATGCAATTTATGAACATCATTACTAAATTACCTATATCATCACGCACATATTTCGTTTACTTCAACACTTTATCAGAATATTGATTGAATGGCACATTTTACAATGCAAATATTGATTTATCTAAATAAGTGGGATACCGCTCTTCGATACTAGTTATTGATTTCTAAATTCGTCTGACTATTAATGTTCTTTCATCGAACTCAGTACAGTGAATTTTCGTCAGACGGATCGAGGTCAACCAAAAGCTGCTAGATTAAGATGGATTGAAGAATCGATTAATGGTAGTGATACAGGTGTTGGCGTTGGTGTTGGTGATGTTGGTGGTGGTTGTGGTGTTGGCAATGGTGTTGGTGTTGGTAATGAGGGTGGTTTTGTTGTTGGTGGTGGTGAAATTGAAACTTACAATGACAATTAGGACCTGAGCCGGTTGATCAGGCGGGGAGGGAAGCGCAAGATAATCGAAATTGCCTGTCTCACTTTGATAATTTTCTTGAGCAAGAGGATAGATGCTTGCCAATGGAATGCAGTTCACAATAATTCCATCTATCAATCGGTCAGAAATTTAATCGCTTAGTTAGATTACATTAAAGCTATATATATATTATGAATTTACTAGGCTCAAGACGAACGGAAAAAAACATAAGACTTTTTGTTCTAAGGAAATGGAATTCATGTTTTCACCGGGTAATATATCTTAGTACATACGCTGTCAATAAAGTGGTTTGTCGACTGAAGTTTTGTGCTCAGCAACTATTTGTAGACTGCTGTTAGGGAATCACAATAAATAATTCGTTTGAATGATTGTCATTGTTCTGCTTTAACATTTTCAAATGGGATTGCCACTTATTTCCTTGATCGATTTCCCTGTGAGGACAGGGATGGAGCAGCTGGTGAACAGACATCGAGTAACGAGAAATGCAATTTTATGGCGCATTGCAAGCAGTCAAATACTTGCTAGATGAAAGGTTACCACGACTCTCTCGTTTGTTTATTCCAAAATCTCTACAAGCATCCGAGCTGCGCGGAGGTAGAAGTTAGCTGTCAAATGCAACTTGTATTTAACATTTGCATAGATCAGATTTAGTTTCACCAAATTCGCGTTTTTAAACAGTAAAACATTGTCATTTCTGTTTATCTAGGCGATGAAAACTGAAAACTGAAACCCAATAAACATCATGTAAAACAGCTTACCGACGTAATCAACATGTGCGTGATCGATCGACTCTAGGTTTATGCACCGCATTGGCGGTCTGTGCTGCTGTCATTGACCACTTCCTTGCATGGATGAAAGTAACTCTCCATGATCAGCAGTTTTCTTCTTACTTATACAATGAGATTCATTTGGGAATGTTCTGAGGTAGGTTCCGTTATTATTAGGTCTCAAATATTATCCATCTGTCCACCGTGTTGGAAAGAAAACTGATGACGAGGTAGCCAAAAGAGCTCTATTTAATGTTCCATGCAACTGACAAAGGGGTTAATTTTTATGCGATACGTGTGAAAACGTAAGTCTTGGACAGACGGATGAAGGAGTCCAGGGGCTTAATTTGATCGACTTATTTGCAGAATTACTCAATCCTTAGGAAAACAAACATTTTATTGATGAAAATTTCACTCATCAGTACATTATTCATCCGATCTATGCTAAGATTGATAAGACCTTCGTTTAGATACATTTCCACAACTAAAACGCAGTTTATATGAAGATGGGATGAAAATAGCCGTCGGATACTCACAAAAGCCCCGGTCACATATTGGTTCGATTTGCTTTTATTTGCATAAGCGTGCAGTTTTTTGTGAGGTGAAGCTGGCTAATTTTTATGAAGAAAAAAACAGCGAACCAGGAAGAAAGTTTTCCTAACTATTGGACAATAACTCCAACCATCCAGAAAATTTAGGAATTATTTCATTTTCGTTGTTTTGCCCACCGCGGTGAAACACCACAATTTGAACCTTGATTGAGGTAGAAAAAATGGATCCCATGAAAACTAAACGTGAGTCGGTTAATTTTCCCCCCAAGAGAATAATTTCCAATACTACAGTTTAAAGTCAAGCCGTCTTTCAATCAATTTGTTTGTTTGCTTGCTTGTAAAACATATCATTTTTTTCCTCCACTAGATGGGCTTATGATCATTTGTAAGTCAAACGTTTTTCCGTATTTGCTCACTGGAGAAATAGTCGCTTTTGGAAGCTCGTATTGCCTAAGAGACCACTATTTCAAAGGTTCATAAGAAAATTGTTAATTTTTTTTAAATTCAGGTTACAGTTTCTGCTCTACCAACACCTAAACCCATCAGAACACTGAGCAAAGTTGATTTTCATGCGAATATTGCGTCATGTTTTTTGCTATGGGAATTTCCCAGAAGCACCCGAGTTCTTTTAATTCCCGTAGCTCAACTTAAAATGTTCTGTCCAAACTACCCACAATTTTCCTAACCAGTTCCTGTTTCACCTTGCTTCTGTGAATTGTTTGTCAATGTTGTTTGACAATTTGACTGATATTTGGCCATTGAACCATGAATGCTTGATTCTTTCCCTTTCAATCGATTTCACTCATCCGGAAGAAATAGCAAATTCCCAGAAATTGCGCTGTACTCGTGGATTGGTCTAAAAATGTCAATGGAAATGAATTCAACCTCACTTATCTCGTTCATTTGCATCAAATATTTCCTCAACTTGCGTGTCACACCATACATTCCGGGTGATCTTTTTCAATATAAACCGATCCAATGAAAATTATGGATTCTTTTATGCGTGACACCAAGAATGAGCTGCGAACTTTGTGAATGGAAATCAAATCGTAATAGGTGAGCAGAAGAACTGGTAAAAATGGTACTAATGTTTGCAAATCTGGTTCATTCCTTCGCTACGGCTCAGTGTGGAGATGACAAATCGGAACAGAGAAGACAACTAAAAATATGAAGAGAAACGTTTGAACATAGCAAACGGATTGGTACATCACAGCAGATGATCATGACAAAAAAGTATATAGTTTGTGCTACAAGTGCATCCATCACTTGGCCAACACTGATTCATCGTGTTTTGTGGTCCACGAGTGAGTGGTATGTTTGTCACGCTTCCTGTGGCCATATTGATTGATTGACAGGTGCTGTCAGCTAGCCCACCCACACGCACTCACGCCATGCGGACCGACTCTGCTGAAGTATCGATTGGCTTCATCCTATTACGTGCTTGTATTGAACTGCCCTCACTCATTGAATGGTTGACTGTTTGCTTGCCTGCTTGATAGCATACGTCTGTGAGATGACGCTTGATTCAGTGGTTGGTCTGCCTGCCTTCCTTCTTACGTGTTGTTCGCTTCTACTTGCTCACCGGCTTCTGAGCTGGCTACGTGTGTGCCCTCTACAATAAACGTACTGCTTAATTCTCTGCGTGCTCATTTGTCTACTAAAACAGGGATAAAACACCTTCCCGTTTACGTGAATACCGTGGTAAGATAAGAGTAAAGTTGATCATGATGTATATATCAAATCCATTTTACCTTCCAATTTTGAGCGTTGTCGAAGTGAGTTCACACTGATGTCGTGGGTTGCTCGGATACATTGCTATCTCTCTGAGATGCTTTAATGGGTACTTCGGAACCACAATGTATATATATATCTACGTTTCTAAATACAGTTAACTTGAGGTCCCGCATTTACGCATTATCATCACTGAATACGCCACCATCATTCTTTCGGGTTAACTTATTGTCGATTGCACATAATGGCGTCTAATGTGTTTTTTAAACTATTTCAAAACAAAACAGGTGCACAAGTGACCCCGTGAACATGTTAGAAGGAGAAACGACCGAAAGGTCTGTAGTAGGTTGGTATGGTATGGTATTGGCATCGTCGTTTATAGTGAGCCCCTTTTTCAAGAAGCCAATGAATAAGACTCTCACAAACTGACCGTTGTTTGTAGTGATTTCAGTGTATCTACCTCTCTAGTTGTGTTACTCAAAACCTAATGATACTTGAGCGTGATCGTCTTGAAGTATACCCTCAGTGGGCTGTACGCTTGATATGGTAAATGTGGTAGCAATATTGCGGTAACAGACCTCTGTTGAAAGTTGTTCCAATAGTTAATTTCACTAAATCATTTAATGTGCGAACTCTGATGAATACGTTGTGCAAACAGCCTAGCCAAACGCGATTCGAATAATGAAACTGTTCGAAAACACAAACGATGTACGTACGGTAGCGTAATTCGCGCTGCTCTAATGACGTAACACCGTTTAATAGACGATTCGTTCATTCGCTCACGGACACACCAGTGTTACCATCTTCTCACGCGTGCAAATGATTGTCTATTTACCCGTACTTGTCCGATCATTGGACCACATGTAGTCTGGTCACGTCAAATGATTTTTCTGTCAAGTCTATCAGTCAAGTTGTCCTTTATGCCACGACAAACTGTTGCATATATGTTTTCGGCCAAGGTAATCCCTGCGCTTCTAGTCTGTATTCTGTTCCACGTCTTCTACGGTTTAACTTGGTCTTCATTCTTACCCTTCTATCTGAAGGTCCTTATATTGCTTATTGCGAGTTGTCCTTAACGTGCACTCTCCAACCACTTGCGCATCGCCATATACTTGTCTCTTTCTCCCTTATCTCTACCGTTACTGCCACATTATTTGATCGGTGGAGATTTCTGATTTGGTCTTCCTTCACTGGACCCATTTACACGCGACGAGTTACTTTGTCCAGATAACTCCAAAATCCCGTCAAATGATAGCGTTAAGTTCAATTTTCCTTCTCAAGAATCACAGTATTACGGAGTCCTCCTGCTTCCATTCAAAAGCGCTCTATATTCGTTCGCAGATTTAACAATCTATGCTGTGGGTGAAAACTCGAGCGTTCCCACTGAACACAGGTCTAACCGTGTACCGTACACCATGCTTATTATACAATCAAAATAGGGTCTATTGTTAAACAAAATTCGAAGACACAGCACGGTCTGTGATTTTGCTGTGGACGAGATATGTTTCCAACCCCTTTCAAGGGGGCAATAAACAGTTTGCTATACATGCGTGTGTAATTATCCCACCATCTGGTTGAGAAAGAATACATTTTGAAGAGCCGCCTTGTCAGTGAGCTGGTGAATTCAAAACGAAGAAAGATTGGGCAACCATTCAACTGAGGATATGAATACATTGATAAACTGGACTAGTACAATAGTCACGCAAAGATGCACCGGAGAGGGGGTAACTGTGGGTTAGAAGAGGATAAATCGACTGTAAACCCGGTTTTCCTGGTCACGCAAATTGATCTCCATCCCTCAAAAATTAAGCCTAAAAACGGTTTCCGTATTCTACTTTAACCACTTGGCTAGATCTCGGACACTAAACATATTCGGATACACGATTGTTAGCCCAGAAGAGATTCTCTTTCAAAACGCTATATCAGTCCACTT